TAACGCTGATAACAATGAATCAACAAATTATCAAGGGAGAAGCTGCAGATACTGCAAATACTAGGTTAAGGGTGCTCATGTACTAAATGCCTGTTAGACTTTCGCCTTCTTTTAAATTTCCAATTAAAGTACACACAAAATTATACACGCTAAAGCAGTTTAAGTGCAAAATAAATGCGGATCGTCCATCAATTTGCAGAAAAATGTATTAAAAACTTTTGAAAATCATCTTCAAACGACCGGGTATTTATCATTGCAAATGAGATTGCACATTGCCGTATACTGTTAAATATTATTTTAAGAACTAACAATCGATGTTGTGCAACAAAATTGTGCCTAAGATCCACTACAATAAAGTTTGTGGAAAACTGTTGGACTTATTTTAAATCGGCTGATTGATTGTGGACGCAAATTCGCATCAAGAAAAGATTAAATTAAATTAAATCGTATCGATAGAATCATTTCGGTACCGATTCCCTATGTCTTACTCTTCGTCTGTAGTCCAGATGCTGCTCAGATGATGTCCATTTGCATTGTATTGCACGATTCAAAGTTCCGAACTAATAAAATATTACTACCTACTTGCTTAGTGATTTTCATCGGAGACAATTGTTAAACCAGATGCTGAGCGGATATTTTCTAAAGAAGGCAGGCTCAATTTATGAAAAAGGCTCAAGATTAAGTGCAAATAAAGTGTCACAACCATTATTAATAACATTTAATGCAATAATATGTTCTATTATTTGTTATTTTATTTTGTAACAACAAATTTATCAATATTTAGATGTCTATTTTGTAATCTTTCATATTTAACATAAAATGATAAACATCATTACTGTTTTGTAATAATATGTAATAAATATGTTTTGAATTTAATTGAAAAAATATTTGAGTTTACCTCGGTTAATTCAGAAAACATGGGTTCTGTCTTCTTATTTTCTATCACGCAACACATTCGTGATGTTAAGACGATACGGATCTCTCTTTAGCTAATAGTTGCAAAATATGTAAAACGAATTTATTAGGGCTTATTTTCAATTGTCTATATTATTTCTATGATTAATTGTGTTTACCACGCTTCAAAATGGATTTTTCCCCTCATATACCTTTTGATTCCTTTATGATTAAATCTACTCAATTTAGTTTAATGTTTTTAGCCTTGGATTATAGTTCAGTTAGATGTTTTATTTTGAACATACGCGCGATGGTTTACATTATGTATACATATAGTGTGTCAAGTGTATCCTGTCTCTATAGCTCTTCCTCGTTTTACAGTCTATTTTAAACAGATAGAACGTCTTCCAATCACCAAAATTAATTGATTTTTAGTCCTATTCAGATACAAGTTGTAGCAGACGTTCATGTCCAACATACACAAGAGCAGTCACAAAAACATGCTACAATGCGAAAAGTATTAAGTAATGCTGAACGCCAAAAACGATTTCGTGCTAAAGAAGGAGCATTAAGTAATAAATCAACTCAAAGTAGCTTTCATCAACCACGAACTAGTGCTGAACGTGAAAGATTATACAAAGCAAATAAGAAATTACGACTAAAAATACAGAAACTCAAGAAGAAGAGTTTACACAAACCCAAGAAGAGCAATATGTACAACATCTCGTTAAAGAATGTTAAATGTTGCAAATAAAAGATATTTTACATTCAAAAGGAAATTAAATTAAATTTTACCTATTCCTGATCCATTTATAAATTATTAGACTAACACGAATATTAAAATCATAAAATAAAATAATTATTGCTATCATGCGTTAAACAAGTTCAATATTTTATGGTTTGTATTAATTTATGAAGTTATCACACACAAGGAAGTTATAAGCAATTTAAATTTGAGTTTCTATTTAGCGTATGAGCCAGCATTTGCTGGACGGCTGCCGTCACTAGACACGACTTTGATATTCAGTTTGCATTTAGTTCACGTTATGCCGGCGTTTTCTTTTTCTTCAAGTCAACTTTAAAGGGTGCTTAGTGATTTGAAGAAAATGACTTACAAATATTGTATGGTGCCTGCGTGTAGCAGTACTACAGTGTGTACACCATAAAAACATTTATAAAAGTGCCTTTGGACGAAAAACGTCGAAAACAATGGCTTCAAATGGCGCGACGAAATTCCAATAAAATATCGTCGAAAAGCTGCATTTATGTTTGTGAAAACCATTTTAAAGTAAGTTTTATTTTATTTTTTTCGTTTTCTACGCTACGTTTTCTTCGCTCCTCTGAAGTAAATACCAAAAGTAGATAATATTTAGATTAGTTATCACATGTATACCTATATCTACTTTTTAGCTTGAAAACGAGATGGAAAATTATATGGAATGGAAAATCATGGGGTCATCATCAAATTCCCCTCAAATTTGCCTGCCAGACAGATAGAAAACGAACTTTCGATCTGCCTGTACGTAGTGCACTTTTCAAGCGTAAGAGACTTGAAATTGTCGCGAATGTTTTACACGAACATAACGTACCTAAAACTTCAAAAAAGGACATCGTATGTGAAGAAGAAACTTCAGCTGGAATTGAACGAGAAGGGCATGCTAGTTTGTCTAAATCAGTACTGGTCGATGTAGCAGTACAAGTAAATTTGAGATCTACGTATAGAAGTACGACATCACAATGCAAATCCGGTCAGATACGTTGTCCCAAAGTTGCTCACCTATCAAATTTGCTTCTGAAATTATTGCTTTATTCCCAATAAAAACACTTGCAAAATCCAAAATATACGCATCACCAGAGTCGAGTTTGTCAAGCTCAAGTGATGAGATGAATGAAGAAGATCGTTCAACTTGTATTCTAGTATGTTTTTAATCAAAAACAAAATTCATGCAAAGGGCCCATTCTAGCGACGCTCTGGGATCGCCACGATTTTCGTCAACTTATGTACGCGCAATTGGCGCGTCTTTCCCAAACCGAGCGATAAGAGCGTAAGTGTAAAGGTACCTATTGTAAGATTTTTTGCAATTTTCGCAGAACAAGACCCTACTTACTAGCTTTACTAAATTATGTCTATTGTATCGAAAACTATTGTATTGAAATGTGAAAATACCACACACCTTCACAATTTCTGATTTTGAAAACATCAGCAACGTGAATGTACTACAACGCTTGGAAAAGAAAAAAACATATTTTTTACAAAGAGAAAGATTGAATGTTTCGGCCAAAACGTATGATTTTTACAAAAGTTGAGTTTCGGTTACAGTTCTATTGCAAAACTACAAAATAGAGTATTAAATTCTTAATTTTTATTAATTCAGAAATGGCATCTGTTACAACAATGTTCATGTTGATATAATAGGTATCATCATCTGCGTCTTTTACTTCCAGCAAAGATTGCGCTTGTTTTGTGTATTTTTGTAAAATTGTAATCAAATCTGTATTGTGTTTTAGCAGTTTCTCATCTTTTCTTGATTTTGGTTCTTCAGCAGCGGGCTGAATACTGTTTGTTAAGGCACACTGTGTTCCAAAAGTTCTGCTTGCGTCTTTTGCGTTTCTATCTAATTTTTGTATTGAATTGCCATCACCTAATTCTTTTACTCTGTCTGCATATCTTAACGTGTTTAGAGTATTTTCACATGATCCAACTCCAGGAGATATCATAGCTATCATGCAAGTTTTGGAATTGTTTCTTGCGTCTTTTGCGTTTCTATCTAATTTTTGTATTGAATTGCCATCACCTAATTCTTTTACTCTGTCCGCATATCTTAACGTGTTTAGAGTATTTTCACATGATCCAACTCCAGGAGATATCATAGCTATCATGCAAGTTTTGGAATTGTTTCCTACAAAAGAATCTCGTAAGACCTGGGTGAGCTTCGAACCCCTGAATGGAAGATGTGCGTCTTTCCGTCCTAGTGCTCGAATGCACTCTTTAAGTGACAATAAGCTTTGGTTAATTTCAGATCCTTCGAGACGTGTGGTTTTTGAGAACGAAAATGTGTCAGCTCCTCTTTCATTTCCGGCTAAATCAATCAGAGAAAACTTTCCATAAACGGAATTAGGATTGAGCTGGTTTCGGATATAAAACTGGAATATTGCGTGCGACCTGGATGACTGTGAATTAGCTGAAGTTTGCCCTGAAGCACGTTCCTTATTTCCCTGTAGTACCAAATTCAAAACCTCATCTTCTGAAGTCACTATTTTCTCAGTTAACCCAACAACGTGAACTTGCTGTAGTTCGTCTTCTAGGATTTTAAGAGCGGCCTTATTATTCAACAAGTCAAATACTTTCTTCACATAGATTTCAAAAAAACTGCAAGAAATTATGAACTTGTGTCGATATTTTGCTGATTTTGCGCTTTTGAATATATCGCTAGCAGTGAGAGCATAAATGCCTTTGTCGGAATCGCTATGTAAATTTCCACTCATAGTATATGTTTTTCCAGATCCAGTCTGTCCATACGCAAAACAAGTTGCAAACCCGCCATTAAACACTGTTTTAATTAGCGGTTGCGCCGTATATTTGTAAACCATCTGATTAGAACTGGTTTCGTTCAGCGTATAATCGAATCTATACATATGGTTTTCAAGATATTTTGTCAAATCAACTTTATGCTTAGGCTCATGAACGATTATCTGGTTCTTACTAGGGACTGTGATTATATCAATCTCTTTTTTGCTAATTTCTATTGCATTTAGTGGCCTTTTTCGAACCGCAACAGTAATAAGATGGTCTTCAATGGTATCTTGGCTCGATAAAGGCTTAAATTCAATTTGTCTTCTAAACTGGCGAATCATGTTTGTGAGTTCCCAATGCGGATTATTTTGGTTTTTACGTATGAGCTCGGTTTTTTCTGCTTTTGCCGCAGCTTGGTTTTTCCTTCTAACTAACCTGCAAATATCATAATTACAATTTTATTGCTGATTCAGAGAAGTTTCAAATAACATATACTGCTAACTTATCTCGAGAAATCGCATGCTTATAAAATGGTTCGAGTAGAATCAGTAAATACCAACCAATCGCACCGGCGCAGTAAAAACGTTAGCCCTAAAAAATGTGGTGATCTCTTAAAAAATTAATATCGCCAAACTGGAAAATTTCTAGCACGAAATAATCACACTGAAAACTATGTTCTATAAACGATTTCCGACACTTGTTAAATCATCCAAATATTCGTATCGTTTCTCCGAAAATTTGCTTCTGAGACATCTAGGCTTTACAGGAAGAAAACATGTTGTGACTATGCGACGAGAACATTTATTTCATTCATTGAAAGCCCATGACGCATGGGCGACTACATATCACGTCATGCCTGGGTAACACTGTTGAGTTGCGCTTTTGAGTTGTTGCCGCTCTCTGAGTTAATGAGTTATAACTCGGTCGGTTAATTAGTATAAGTCATTAATTGAAAAATATTAGAGCTTTAAGAGAGCCGAGACTAGACGAAGGAGGCGATTGTTGTGTTGTGTAATTTTTAGCGGGAGTTACCTTAAGATTGTCAGTATTTTTAAGTTAAACTTTAGAAAATTGAGCGCTTAGAAGCAAGAGTAAGTTTGGTAAAACCGTAAAATTTTGAAGAAATTTTTAAAATATTAAAAAATGACCCTTTAAACATATCTAAAAACAATTAAAGAAAAGTTATCCACATTTCCCAAGCAAAGCAACTGAGTTCCTGCGCCGGTGCCTTCGGTTCGGGCACCAATTCATTTGCGCAGCACTGCGCCAACTCCTAAAAATTCACTGAGTTCCCAGGCCTACCTCACATGTCACATTGTCTATGATTTCCAAACATACTTATCGTATTATGAGTTTACTGCATACTAAACGGCACCGGTGCGTTGTGTTGACGCACAAAGCCGTTTCGGTATCATTGCGCCAACCCATGAAAATGCACTGTGTCCTCCATGCCTAATATATGGAGCTCCTTGATCCTATGTTTTGTACTTTCTATAATGTTTTTCTTCGTGCTTTTACTTTAGGATTTTGCGGATCTCTATAGATCTTGAAAGTAATTCTCGACTATCCGTGATTCGGTGAAAAAGTCTTGTTCTTCTGTGCTTTGTTGGTTTTGAATACTTTTCACTCTATTTTTTCTATGGTCTATTCAATTGAAGTTTCATGGCATTTCAATTATTTCTTTCAAGTTTATTTCTTATTGGATTAATTAATTCTGAACATGTTGTTTTATTTGGCTTCTTTACATGGAGGGCTCTTTTTCCTTCCATTAACGTTTTTACGTTTTTAGTTAATTTACTCACATTTCCTCCTCTGTTTTTGCCTATTTCCAGTCTTGAAACGTGTAGGTCTTTTTCAATGGTTTCATACATATACTTTCTCAGGCTCTTAATTTCAACAATAATTGCTATTATTAATTGTTTTTGCCGAATTTAAATTGCTTCTATGCCTGTATTTCGTGAGTGTTTACTCTTCTATTCAGATGCATTTTAGCTGCCAGCATTTTATGGTCGATATCTGTTGTGGATTTGTTGAATGAATTTCAAGTATCTATTTGTCGGTAGAAATAAAGTAGTCTATATAATTTTTTGAATTTGTATCTGGCGACTTCCACGTTCATTTTCTTAGATTTTATTTGAAAAATGTAGTCATTGCAGATCAGTGTTTCTCCTTAATTTTTGTATTTTTTCCTAGGTTTGCGAGGAAACCCTATAATATTATTGTTTATTTTGTCTTTTTCTGATTTATTGCTGTCGTAGCTTTAGAAGTATTTCCAAATCTTTTTCAATGCTGTTGAAGCTAGGACAGAAATCTGCCAAATGCACTTTTGATGACCTGTGGAGTTTTTAAATTTTGTTTGAATGTAAACTTTATTCCTCCATGTTTTATTTTTGTTTCCCCTGGAGTAGCAATATTATCTTATTTAAGTTGCATATAAGTATTTCTTCGCTTTTCAACTTCCTAGATACCATAATAAATATGCCCCATTTTATTCCGCTCAGGTTCTTTTCTGCTTCGCACAGGGTTGGTTACAAAAAAAACTGTCTCATCAACATACGAAAACACATTCTACACGGTTCTTCAAAACCTTACCAATATAATTAATATCGATTGAAAACTATATGCACTTAAGAACTGCATCCTGCGGAATTCCTGCCTTTATTTTCATTGAATTTCAGTTCTGTTGTTTGTTAAATAAAGATATAATAGGCCGCCTGTAATGTCAACCATTGCAAACGAAACAGTCTCGCATGATGTAATTTAATAATAACTTAGTTATAAGATGGAAGGTAATAAACTACTATACTCAAATATGTTGATTTACCTGTCTTGTTCCAGTTTGCTAACCCTTTTCAAAGTTCCTTTATCTTTGTGTTTTGACTGAGTTTCTATAACGGATTTAGTAATGCGCGCACTACTGAAACCGATGCCTTCAATTCTTAGCTGATCGCTAGCAAAAAATTCGCTTCAACTTAACTTTCGTAATTATATTACAAACTCAAACCTACCTAAAGTTGTTCTCAAGATGGGACTGAGTATATCTAGTTTTAGCTGATTGAACTCTGATATCAGTGTTCTTTCTTTTATCATTGTCGTGCCGTTGCCATTTGTCTAGGCTCTTATTAGGGCCCACAGCAACAGTTGCAACAGGTTTTATGATTGATATGTCAGGATTTAACGATAATACGTTATTAAAGTGAATTTCTTTGCCCTTCGTTTCTTCATCTTCAAACCATTCTACCTTTACGCACATCGAATTGTGATCGATCACAGTTACAATCGCATTTCGCAGTGCACCATTGGTTCTTTTTATGTATATGGTGTCCCCTTCTGTTAATAGTTTCTGGGCCATTAAAGTAGAAACGTGATTATATGATGTTATGTCGTTTAGCTAAAAATTAAACCTGTCATTATTTTGTCAACGTTGTCAATAATTAGCTTATGAATTTTCAATATTGATGTTTACAACGCAATTTTTGTTTCAGGTCAATTCTCTTAGCCAGGAAGTTATGAATGAAGTTGTTCAAGTTCTGTCAGAAGTCGAAGCAAATCCTCAAATCCAGTCATGTGTACTGATCTCCAAAAAACCAAACTGTTTTATTGCCGGAGCTGACATTAATATGATCGCAAACTGTAAAACAGCAGATGAAGTAACCAAAATCTCCAAGTGAGCTTATTTAATTGCTAAATTTAATTCTACTTTAAAAACTTTGTTCCATTTAAAATCTGCTGTCGATACAGGGTGGGCCCACGAGTATGGGCTGCTATCCGTAACTCGAAAAATACAATTACACTAATACCGAAACGTTCTCAAGTCTTGCTAAAGCAACTCTACTCTATACGTTCAATTTTTTTTAAATTTAAACGAGGATCGGTTTAGACCGGAATAGACGTCAAGTCGCTGATTTGATATGGAACACCCTGTAGATTTCTATAAATTTAAGTTCTGTTAAAGATTCTGGACAGTTTTAGGTATAAAGTTGGATTCCTATCACTAACGCTTTTGAAAATATGTTTTTATAAGAAATGACAGATTCAGTCTAGAACTTTGTCCCCGATACTGCTCAAATGACAAATTATTCGACAATGAAAACTTTGAGTCATAGAAGAGGTTGACTTGCAGGCATGTATCAGGTCCTACTTTTATACAGACTATTCCTTTAAAAAAATTAAATATGCCATATAAAGTCATAGTCTCATCACAATCATTATAATTCTCAATACAAACTGCGATATTAATAAAACACTAAATTTCAAATTTGATCAGAATGTTTTTGATTCGAACCTGTAAGCAGCGTTCTGCCCATTAACATTACTTAAATACCGGTTGCTTTTTGGGTAAATTATCAAAACTAACAGGTCTAAAGGCACATAAAAACGGGTTTATTTAACTGATAGAACTGAATGTTGAGATGATTGCGAATAATTCAAATCTTTCAAAATTTAGTTTATCCATTAACTTTCTAAAGCGATCATCGTAAAATACCTATAGTTTAATGCAGGAGTTGCAAATTCAAAAGCTCAGTTGGGTCAAATAAACAACTTTAGGTGTGCCGCCAAAAAATCAATGCTGATGGAAACAAATATATTTTTTAAATTTTACATTGTAATAAACATATACATAATAAATTTAAATTATTGTTTACGTCCTGATACTTGGCATCTCTTCTCTGCCAGTATCTTTCCCATTTGGGGAGATTTTATTATACCAATTTTATTGGCCGATAGTACTTTCAAAGTTGACCCAACGTGAGCCTTATTAGTACAGGTGATTTATTTCCATTCATAACAGAAATTAATTGCTCGCACAGTTAAGTACTTCTAAACATGGAAATAATTTCATATGTAAAAATTTCTAAAATTCAGGCACACCCACTTTTTTGACCACCGATGCATTTTGCCTTCAAATTTGAGTCGCACTGAATCTCATTCACTTCCATTTATTATATTACTAAGTCTATATGAAGATATTGAGAACATCGAAGAAAACAAACAAACTTTGTCTTCCAAAGATTTTAAATCTTTAAACCTTGTTTCAAATTATCTTCTAAGATAAATAGAGTAAACGGAACTTATTACAAAAAATATCTCGTTTGATTGGATTTTGTTCAGTGTGTCGTCGTCACACCTGCTTCCTTCTTCCCTCAACTAGATTTGTTTTTGTTGCCCGTTGGGAAGTGCGTTAAATCTTCATTTTTCAGTAATTTTTTTCCCGAAATAAATAGTTTTAAATGATCTGACCATTGCCTTGTAGCAAGCTGTAAAACGGACTCCATCTCAGTTAATTACAATTTTATATTTTCGCGCGCACAATTTAAAATGATCCGCATAGTTTATAAATAAAGTATATTGTAATTTTATATGCTGGCTTCGTTTCTAATTCACATTTCTATTTTATTTTTGCTTTGCGTCGGATATATTGACTGGCCGCAAACATGTTTGGCTGATGAAACATGTTCATCTCGGCCAGATGAGGCCTGCGGACCGCGATTTTTACACCCCTGGTTTAAGGCGTTATTTATCACAGAACTACGCATTCCGCAACAGTAATGTCATGATCTCAATTTGATTTTTAGAGTATGTTAAAGCAAATGTTTTGGACGAAAATATGCAATGCAGACATATGCAGAAAAATATGCAATATTCGAAGTGTAGCCCCTTCAACTAACTGACGCTACTTACTTTTAAATTTTGGTATTTTCAGAGACGGACACAAAATATTTTTTGCAATAGAGAACAGCAAAAAACCTTTTGTAGCCGCTATTCAGGGTTCTTGTTTGGGAGGAGGACTGGAAACTGCGTTGGCGTGTCACTATCGAATTGCCGTAAAAGATAAAAAAACTGGACTTGGCTGCCCTGAGGTTATGTTGGGGCTTTTACCAGGCAGGTGGCGTTTTCCTAAATTATACTGTATCTTTATTTAGGACTTTTTTGAAATATATTCGATGTGCAGGTGGAGGTGGCACACAGCGCCTCCCAAAACTAGCGGGAGTGCCCAATTCTCTAGACTTATGTTTAACTGGAAAAACTTTGAAAGCGGACAAGGCTAAAACATTCGGCATAGTCGATTTGCTAGTCGATCCTTTGGGTCCCGGGTTGGATACACCGGAAAATTGTACTAGAAAATATTTAGAGACTATTGCCATCGATGTCGCGAAGCAGATAGCTTCCGGAAAATTAAGTACTGAAAAGAAGAAGGGATTGACGGAGAAAGTGTTAAATTTGGCCCTCCAGTATGATTTTGTAAAAGATCAAATATTTAAAAAAGCCAAAGCTCAAGTGATGAAGATGTCGGGAGGATTATATCCAGCTCCATTGAAAGTGGGTTATATTTAAAAAATATATTTTGCAATTTACGGCTGGTTTAATTTCCAGATATTAGATGTTATCCGTACTGGAATAGATAAGGGGCAAGAGGCTGGCTATGAAGCTGAAGCTAAGGGCTTTGGCGAACTGGCTATGACTCCTCAATCCAAAGGTCTCATAAGTCTTTTCCAAGGTCAAACTCAGTGCAAAAAAAATCGCTTTGGAAAACCATCGAAGGAATTTAAAACTGTGGCTGTGCTTGGAGCTGGTATATTATTTGTCTATTAGTTAAACAGGGTGACCTGAAGTTAGGTTGCATGATTTCTGTATGTATTCTTTTTATTAGTTATGTATTGCACAATAACTGAAGTGCTTTTGAAAATAAACTGAAAACGATAACAGATTGAAACACAATGCAAGAAGTGAAAAAGTTTCTAAATTAAATAGAAAATTCAATTTTTTTGAAATATATTACCAGTGGCGTGGCATAAAATAATGGTCTGGCAAACGTTACCATAAACATAACAGAAAAAGTTACACCCTGTAGATTGACCCCCTAAATTTAAGTTAATATTTTCCAATTTCAGATAAATATCTCCTACAAGCTCTCGGGCTTAAAAATGACTCCCTGTATCTCGTAAACAAAGCATTTGGGTTCTATGTTTTTGTGAACGTTTTTGTCGTAAAATTTTTGGTAGTTAAAATCGTGCAACCTGATTGGTAATCACTCTGTATTTTTCAAGTTTTATTTGAATGTTATTTACAGGTTTGATGGGCGCTGGTATTGCTCATGTGACGGTAGATAAAGGGTATGATGTTATTTTGAAAGATACCAATTCCAATGGGTTAGCGAGAGGAGTGAATCAAATTAGCACCGGAATTAATAATGCTGTTAAACGAAAGAGAATATCCAGGTAGTATTTTTTTAGATGAATCTAATGGAATCGATTTAATGAGCAGGGTTTAATCCATTTTCAGCCTGGACAAGGACAGATATTTAGCAAATCTCAATGCCACTCTGAATTATGATTCGTTCAAAAATGCTGATGTTGTTATTGAAGCTGTATTTGAAGATTTAAGTATCAAGCACAAAGTGCTGAAGGAGGTCGAGGCCGTAGTCCGCCCAGAATGCGTTTTTGCTACCAACACGAGTGCTATTCCCATTAGGAATATTGCTGCTGCCTCATCTCGGCCGGATAAAGTAATTGGTAAGTGCATTCAAAGTACCGACCGCTGTAAAATTATCCTGTGAATTTTGTAGGAATGCACTACTTTTCGCCAGTGGACAAAATGCAGCTTCTGGAGATTATTACGACTGATAAGACCAGCAAAGAAACCACTGCCTTAGCTGTCGATGTTGGACTGAAGCAAGGAAAAGTCGTCATCACTGTTGGAGATGGCCCGGGTTTTTATACTACGCGAATTTTAAGTGCGATGATGGCTGAGTCTATTAGACTGTTACAAGAAGGTATGCTAGTCTTTAGAGAAACGTCTTATTATTCCATCCGGGTAGGAGTTTTTTTCTTATTTGCTTCTTATTAGTTCTTCAACGTGATCTTTCATTTGGGGTTTACAAATGTATAGTCTTTACGGAGGTACGTTAAAATTCTAGTATGATCAGTTTACTGCATAAAATGTTCCTAAAATCTCAGGATTTCCGTACTTGTCTGGAATATTTTGATAGGATAGGTTTTGCTTTTTTGATTTTGATAGACGATGGGGTCAACGTATACTTGATGTTACCGCATTACAATTATTTCAGGGGTCGCTGTACTTCATAGTCGAATTTTATTGGGTGCCTTATTTACATTTATTTCCATTTGAAAACACAACTTTTTTATCAGACAGTGTCGTTGCATCGCGGGTATATTGAGTGTTACTCACTCAATAGGTAATTTAAATATCTGTTTAAGGTACGGTTTCGGTAGGGCGATTCGAGACGCAGCTAATGCGATTCAACTGGTATGCGAACCAGTCAAATCGCAATCGCAAGTACGATTTTGGGGAAATGGCTCGTTTTTCAGCGAATGAGAATGACATTTTAATTGACGAAGTCCGAAAATATCCATCGATTTATGCTTACGAAGATAAAAATTATTAAATTTTTGACGTAAAAGAAAATGGATGGAGAAAAATAGCCCTATGAGTGTTGTTTTGCTCCCCGTTTAACAAAATAAGGGTTAAAAGAAAATTGTATTATAATTTTTTAAAAAATAATTGTTCTTATTTTCCTCCCTTTTTAACAAAATAAGGGTTAAAAGTTCGATGTCGTCCATCTTTTCGAAAGATTTTTCTCAAATGTACCTCACGAATGAACCGATCGGTTCAAGATGCAATGTTTTTTGGCGTGACATCTACATCATTTTAGCAAAAAAAAGGGTCCACGTAAGTTAGCAAAAATAGAGAAGTAAAAGAAACAAATTCAAGCCGAAATTCGGTATTTTTATTTGCTTCTTTCCCAAATATGAAAATCAACTATGCAGATTGTTAAATTTTGAAACTATTTAAGAAGCATATGCAAGTACATTGCGAGATGTATCGAAACTCGTTTGCCTCTAATTTGTGTTGCTGACTCTGCTAAGCACGTAATCAATTCACCTCTTGTATCTACCGGACTCTTAAAAACTAAATGTGCCCGACGAGAAGACGTCACACGGATGGTGATCTCGGAGGTCATGCTCTGATTGACTTTGGACAATCTCTTTTGAGAAGCTTAAGCTTTGGTTTAGCTGAAATCAAACGGACCCTGAGCTCTTAAATTCCAGTTCAAAGCGAACTGGTATTGAACTAGTTTTGTGCAACCAAAAAAACCATAGAACCGGCAAGTCGTTAAAGCAAATAATGTTTGTCTGTTAATTATAACGATCTGGTGAAAAAATATAACGCTATGAGGATTGCTCTTACAAGACCTACTCAAACATAGATGGAAAATCGGCTTCGAAAATTTGTATTTCTAGATCTATAACTTGTTGATTGAAAAAATTATCCTTCTAAGGAGCATTTGCATGTCACACACGTGTTCAACGTGGAATAGAAAAGTTCAACGAATTCAAATTTCTTGTTCTGAAACTCCCCAGACACACAATTTCGTTTATCAGCAATAAAAAAAAGTAATTAGGTTTTTGTTTTTTTTATATTAACGTTGACAAGGTATTTTGAAAATCGTCTACTTGGATTAGGCTAATTTTGGACAATCACCCTGCTTATCGGCAGGTAATGGGATATTCACATTGTGACATTTTCATAAATTTTCCAATACCCGGCGTTCAGATATAACCACAAATAATATAACAAGCCACCATTTAAGCCTTATTATTTCCAGGCGTCGATCCTAAAGACTTAGATTCACTGACTAAGAAATTCGGGTTTCCTGTGGGAGCAGCCACATTGGCTGATGAAGTTGGACTAGATGTTGCTAGTCACATTGGGCCCGATCTCCTCAAGGTGATTTAAGTTGTACTTTTGTAGAAACGTTTACACCAACCTCAATTTCTATTTAAGGCATTTGGGGAACGTTTTGCTGGGGGTGATCAGAACATCTTGAGTGAAGTTGTAAAGGCAGGATTCTTGGGGCGCAAATCGGGTAAAGGTATATTCGTGTATGAAAAGGGATCAAAACATCGAGAGGTTAATCTAGAAACTGTTAACATACTGAAGAAATACAGTTTGGAACCCAGAGGACCATTTGAAGATGAAGATAAAACCTTGCGTATGGCAGCTCGCTTTGTAAATGAAGCTGTTCTTTGCCTAGAAGAGAAAATATTAGCCAGTCCGTTGGAAGGTAAAATGTTCTTGATTGAAATAAAGGTGTGAATACAAGTCAATTAATGCTTTTAGGCGACATTGGTGCAGTGTTTGGTTTGGGTTTCCCCCCATTTACTGGCGGTCCATTCCGTTGGGTTGACCAATACGGTGCTGGAAAGTTGGTTGCCAAAATGGAGGCATACCAGAGTGCTTACGGTCTGCCCTTTAAACCTGCTCAAAGTTTGGTTGATATGGCCAAGGACCCGAGCAAAAAGTTCTATACATCTTAATTTTGTTAGAAAATTTGAAAATACGTTTTATACAGCTCATTTTTTAAAGTGTTTATCTATATATTACTTTTGTTAAGTGGATAAAACATTCATTCATTTACTATTAATTAAATTTATTTTGATTTTTTTGTGTTTTTAATTAGAAGCGTTGACATTTAAATGTGTAAAAGGGTACTACCCTTAAAGAGACTGTAAATAGCTCGAATATTCTACATGATAGACCGCACGGAACGAACCTGGTATTTATTACAGGCAGATTCTGTTGAAAATCTGAAACTCGCCTTGAAAACGTCGTGTAAACAAAGTGAAGTTGAAAAGCGCAACTTAACTGATGATATTCTACTGAATGCAGTACTCAAGGTGAAGAACGTTTAGCGTTTGATAGAAACCCACATTAACTAGGGGTGGTACAACATTTAAATATATTGCGCATATTTTGTTTGATGTCGAACGTTTGAAGAAACTCTGTATGAAATAAGCGGAAGAGGAGTTTTACATCTCTCGGTATTTTGCACATTGTTACCAAAATACTTTTCTGTAACATCAAAGTGAGAGAGAAGATCCAACTCCAAACAATCTTGGAAGCACTGAAAATTGATGTAAAGTTGAAGCAGTTTGGTGATAATTTCTGCATTGACGTGATAAAAAGGTATATAATGTGCTTGCACGGAAATGCAGCTATTTATGTCATTGCTTTGGGAAAATTCAATTTTTCTCCAAGGGGATTTTCGAGATTAGCTAGTATGACTTGAAAACTTTGAAAGAAAGAGGTATTTTGCATACTTTCCACTAGCATTTCTGGTTTAAGAGATTGTAGCTTGATAGGGATAAGATGAGACTTGAGTAAAGTTTATAGATGATGTTACAAATTTATTTAGCATAAATCTCACAAAAATAATAAAACATTTATTATTATTTTCGCTTTTTCGTAGTGATATTTGGGAATACAAAAAGTGAAACAAGCTTTTAAAAAAATATATCTGAAATATTGACGGCCCCTTGAAATTCGTTAATAGTAAATTTTTTGCGGTCTAGTCGATTCTAACAGGTTGGATTTATTCATTTCATTGTGGTTGCAGGAAACACCCTTCAAGAGAATATGTTTCAATTAAAACTAATTTTTTAAAATATTGATTTCTTTCGACATTATTTAAAGATATGTTTCTTTATTTCGAGCAATAATTCCTTAACAAATTTTTATTCATGTCCAGTTGACTGATAAGGCGGATAACATACCATATGCAAATCATGTGTGTTTAAATTGTGCGTTGCACTTTGGAGATATAGCTGTGAATTTTGTAAGAGAGAATATATTTTTCCATTCAGAATTGAATAATTCAAAAACCAATAATTACACCGAGTGTGGATTTGCAAAACAATTAATTCCTCAATGATAGCAATATGTATGTTTAGATAGCAGATTTGGGAGTGGAATAAGCAGCGCGTTTTAATCTAAAAAAATCACGCAAGTTTTGACCCTTTATTCGGGTCTTTCCCAAGGCTGGAAAGACAGATGAAATATAATTAAATATCAAATATAACAAACTTATGCAATAAGCTGCGGAGTCTTATGAAGCAGTTTGCGAATGAAATGTTTTTTTTAAAGAAGTATGGAACTTTAAGCTGAAATAAAACTGATAGAAATCATGTTAAGGTCATGGTACGGGCTTTATTGAAAAGGCAACAATTTACTCGGCTGGCGCGAATAAAGAGCAATCTGAAAGTCCATTTTCGACCATTTTCAAAATTCCACTAGACCATAAGAAACAGTGAGTTTGTCTGGATATAACGGGGTCTCAATAATGGCTTCTGGATTTTCGTCGCTCCAAATTCGACAGTTTTGTTTATTTACGCAACCATTGAGCCAAAAACGATTATGTCGACCGTAAAGCATGGTGAACAACAGCGATTTTTGAAATAAATAGTCAAACTTGAAGCGACGCAAATTGAAAATCCGAAAGCCATTATTGACGCCGTTATATCCAGAAAAACTCACTGCGTTTTTATGATCTGATACAATCAAAGTGGTCGAAAATTGGACTTTCTCAGTGGATTGCTCTTCATTCGAGTCAGACGCGGCGCCCATATGCCCCAAATCATATTTAAGCTATGGCATACAACTGCCTTTTCAATAAAGCCAGTGCCATGACCTTAACATGGTTTTTATGAGTTTTATTTCAGTTTACAGTTGTAAAAGTTGTTTTAAGTTGTAAAGCTGTAAAACAACACATTTAGAAAACGAACCATACATATACCTCAGGACAATTGAAATAAACAGTATATCACAATCTTATGCAACAAGGAGAGAACAAAAAACATACTTATTTTTTAAATTAAAAAGTCGTGATCTCATTAAATAGAATGCAGGTATTGATGTGTGTTTATTTATTATCAACAGTTAAATGTGAATTAAACTGTGAAAAAGCTCGGCAATTATGTATATATTGGTATATACATACACATACTTCCATATGGCCACTGTAATATTTTTACTGTGTTAATTCTTAGAGACGATTTTTTTCCGCTACTCCCCTTTTTCCTTTCTTTTTTAACTTGGTGTAAAATATAATTGTTATTAGTGGATAGGCCCATTGTGTCAGTGCAAAATTAACTGATTCATTTTATTCTGTTTTGGCACATTATTTTTTATACTAAATTATCTAATTTAGTATATGTATAGATAGTATTATAAGAATACGGACTGTTGATTTAAGATGGAATGTCCTATTAATCGTCTTGAGCCGCTATCATTTTCGACAACCTTTGGTACGAAAGCAAAGACACCTATAATTTTTCACAAGTGGTTATTTAACCATTAGTGGTAATGCATTTTACGTTTTTCCAATAACGATTGTTTCTTCTGAACGGCATTTTTCACTCGTTTGAATATATCTTCACTAATGGTTGTGCCGTGAATGCTGTAGGTATACATTCAAAAGCTTTTTATCCACTTTACAACTTTTATATAGGCCGCGAAAAAAATAATACTTTCTAAGTTTTTTAATTTTTATTAAAAATTGATACGGAACGTTAAGAAACTCAGGTGTAAAATTAAATTGAGGACACTGACAATTTTTGTTTTGTTAATTGTACATATTTATTTAACAGCATATGACTTTTGGTTTTTTAGCTTCTTGATATAGGTAACTTAAATAATGGGTTATCCAATTCGAGGTTGGGACAGTAAAACTTTGCTATTTGATCTCTGTTAAAGGTAAGCGTCATACGAAGCGATTTTGTTTTAGTTGAAGGTTTACCATTTTGAAATGTGGATCGTTTAACTGTCGAAGAACGCTTAAAAATTATTAAATGTTACTTTAAAAATGATGATTCTGCGGTATTAACGTTTAGGGCTTTACGAGCAGATTACGGTCGACATAATCTACCCACAGAGCAAGCAATTTCGAACACAGTGGAAAAATTTGAAGACACTGGATCGGTTACTGATATTGTAAGGCCTGTGCATCATCGCAACATTCGTTCAGCCGAAAATATCGCTGTTGTTGCTCAATGTGTGGAGAAAGACCCGAATTCGTCGATTTCCCGGCGTGCTCAACATTTGGGCTTGTCTTACGGCTCATTGTGGCGAATTTTGCAATTGGATTTGCAGCTCCATCCGTACAAAGTCCAACTGACTCAAGAACTTAAGCCTCAAGACCACAGTCAACGCAGAACACGTAAATTGGGTGATTGAACAACAAGCCGTTGATGATGACTTTTCGAATCGAATTTTCTTCAGCGATGAGGCTCATTTTTCGTCTGGTGGTTACGTGAATAAACAGAATAGCCGTATATGGGGCTCTCAAAATCATCAGGTGATTGCAGAAAGGACTTGGCATCCTGAAAAAGGGACCGTATGTTGTGCATTATGGTCCGGTGGTGTTATTGGGCCGTATTTTTTTTAAAACGATTAAGGAAGAGCCATAACAGTCAATTCTGAGCGCTATGGACGCATGTTAACCGATTATTTTTGGAGAGAAATTAAAGATTATGATCTGGAAGACATGTGGTTGCAGCAGGATGGGGCAACGAGTCACACAACACTGGCAGTTAGAGCCCTATTGTAAGATAAATGTCCAGGACGCATAAGTTTGAGAATGAGTCAATTGGCCCGCAAGATCCTGCGACTTCCAAAGTTACGGTACTAATGACGAAGAAGCCATTCTTAGGGGTTTTCAAGAAGATCCGACGAGCGTACGCGTTGCGACTATGCGTCTTATGGTATCACAGTGGAACGTTCGGACATTGAACAAAGAGAAAGTACATCTGTAAGAAGATCCTTTAAGGCTTCTGTCGATTTATGTTAAACGCCGATATGGAGGACTCAACTTTTCTCGGTAGAATTTTGTGGCCCGAGCAAATTTTAATCGAGAGAGGAAGACCTACTACCATTACATTCAAAACTCTAAGACTGATGTCAACTGCGGCTAGAAATACATTTTTGTAATACTATTGATTTTGTAAGAGCACTATTTTTTGCTGTTTTTATAGCAAACGCTATTTAATTACAACCCGATTAACTATGCAATAAATCAATTTTAATTTTTCTTACTCAAAACCGGTGCGTTGTAGAAAAAAAGTCAGGAGACCCTTTTCTCTTCCGAATTGTACAAGAACTTGATAAATAATATTTAATTTTAGAAAAAACAGTGGCGTAACATTGTTTTATTTAAAATTATCTACAGTCGTGCCTATGCACACACCACTTGCAAAACTAAAAGCAAAATTTCTACACTTTGTTTCTAAGTGCCTAAGCCATCATTAAAATATTCCAAGCGGTAACCGCAATATTAAAAAATATAATTTTTTTACATTGCAAACTTTAACGCCTTGTAGATCGGAAACTAATAGTTTTCGGAATATGGTTTATTAAGGTAATAAATCCAGAATTACTTCTGGATATGTTGTTCAGACTGCGGGTTGAGGACGGCCAGACATAACGGCGCCGTAACGCATTCAGATAGGCTTACACCGTGCCATAAGGAGACCTCACTTCAAACATTTTCACTTCAATAATTTAAAGTAAAAATATTTTTTTCTTTCATATGCTAAATACGCTACCAACCAGACATGGGACCATTTGAATATATTTAGAACTTATAAACAAAGTTGAAATTCGATTTTCAACTATTTTGTGTGTTGCGTACTCTTCAAGTGAGCCCTTATTTCAAGGAATGAAAATAAAAATAACAATTCATTAGAAGGAATGACGCCCATTTTGATCTCTCGCTGTATATTAGTATTGAATGGTATGAGCCTGTGTCCACGATTTATCACAAATAGTTCATGATCGGTTATTGTACAAGAGTTACTTATATGAACCATATGACATCTTAACCACACCGAACATGGGGCGCATATTGATATTTTATTGGCGTTCTTCAGACTAGTTTTACGGACACTTTAGTTATGCAAACTATGTGGAACCCTTGAATTCATGATATATTATCATCCCCAAGTTAGACACGCCTAATGTAATTTACAAAATATACTGTTTGAATTGTGATAACACATAGATACGTCAAACAGGACAATATCTAAAGAAAAGAATATACGAACATAAGTATAGCCTAAGAAAAAATAACGAAAATGGTACAGCATTAGCACAGCTTGCACAACAGAGGTTGCATAATTTCGATTTTGATAACACAAAAATACTGATTAACGAGAGTAATTATAATAAGAGAAAAGTCCATGAAATGATACAGATTAAAAAACATAACAATGCTATAAATTTCAGATCGGATACCGACAATCTTAGCTCAGTATATCATACATTAATTAAATGAAATAAACATGGAATATTAACTAACACCCGGTATATTGAAGAATTTTGCAAACCAAAAATAATATCCTCAGAATGCAAAGAAAAGTAGCTGAAAGTAAAAGAAATCAATATAAACAGTATTTTATTCGCTTTGTGTCCAAAATGGACAAAATTAATACTCCAAATATATGCCAAGGCTTAAAGCAGCAACAGCTCTACACATGTCAGTAAAAATATTTAAGTGTCTGAACGAAGAATTCTAGTCTCTTCCCAGGTTTGATTGTCCTGACTAATCACCTGTTAGGCCTAATTAATTTTAGAGTATTTTAAAGTGTTGCAATTGTAATGTATTTTAGTGTGTGATATGATGAGGCTGTTGACGAACTGTAATTGTTTTTTAAATTAATGAACTTTTTTTTAACTATCTGTTATTTTAGAAAAACTGATGATGGTGGAAAAATACACCGAAACGTATTTTAATTGATAAATAGAGACAATAAATGACCGAAACCCAGGAATGAATTTTGATTTGAAATTGAATATACAGGGATAATGAGGGAGTAAAATTACGAGGGCACAATAGGACAGAAATGACCGCGGTGAAAGGCCAAACACCACCTCGGCGGCGAGGAAAGGGTTTTAGTGGGTAAACAGCTTAGCTGGAGTCCCACACAACCCAGATCATCCCCTGAAATATTTATTTACATCAAAGAATAGATAAATAGGAAATTGTTAGCAATTTAATATAGTTTAGTGCGTGCAACTCCCACGATTTTAAAAACTTGAACTTTCTAAATAAAATGTGTAACAGTTTTTAAAAACGTTGATTTCCTAATGGGCAAATATCTGATTTGGTTGAAGGAATAGGGCACAGAATTAAAATAAAATCTCCTGCATATCAGCAATGTAGTCGGACGGACGGACGGTATAATCGACAAGAACGTGTGGAAACGCGTGCGCCGCGGCGCTGGCATCGGGACGTTGCCGGCCCCGGACGAGCGTCCCAGTATCGCGTCGATTCGCAGCCGACTCCGTCTCGCGACATGCCGAGATGACATTCTTTCCCCTACGACGACGAAGACGAACAGTGAAAATGTTGACCAAGGAGGGTTTGTGAATGCGCGATGCAGCAACAGCCTGATAGTGGAGCACCCGGTGGAAGTCCCGCGGCTACGGGGGCTACGGGAACGGCTGCAGCTCGCAGCCACGTTAACGGGGGCCGATTCGATTTCGACGACGGCGGAACATACTGCGGCGGCTGGGAAGATGGGAAAGCTCATGGACACGGTGTGTGTACCGGCCCGAAGGGACAGGGCGCCTATAGTGGCTCCTGGCATTACGGATTCGAGGTGTCTGGAGTCTATACTTGGCCAAGGTAATCCTAGATGGCCATCGGCCTGGGGACTGGCGCCCCTCGCGGCCACCGATGTTTTATTTTGAGGCGCTCTCACCGCTCAACGTCGCTCTGCGTCATGTTGCGCGCCTGTCGCTACGAAACTAATATTGCACACGGCAAATACTCGGCCAAATACAACCAACACAAAACAACACTTTTCCTATCACTGCTTCCAAATCACATCATTACAACCGTCCAACGGAATGCGGCATGGCTCACTTGGCTGCTCCCCCCACGCGACTGCTCCAAAATCATAATAAGTTTCAAATAAACGGAAACACACATACCGGACCACTATCAAAAATGCAAAATACCAGATACTATTTGAGTAATGCTGCATAACAACATACAATAATAAATAAAAAAACGGACACAATGATGAAACGCAAGATAAACCGATAAAACAACTTTCTCGAATGAACAGAAAATCGATCTAAGTTAGTGATTTAACAACATAATCAGACACATTTTAGTTTGCACTCGTCAAGTGCAAAGTTAATGCAGCAATTATGTAGCTTTCTGGAACGCAGAACCTGTTCCAAACTTCTTTAGCGACATTTCGTAATTGTAAAACGTAACAACTTTCAGTTGTTTTCTGCATTATTATGCATAGTTCTGAGTTACAGTTATCATTGGACCCAGCCTCCATTTTTCACCTCAGCATTACTTTCTTTCATATTTGTGAATAATGTTAGTATAATTTGCGCATCTGTTACAAAATCGATTGCCCTAACATTATCATTAGTTCCATCAAACTTTATTAAAATCACATATTTTATTTTGCATTTTCATTTCAATAGTGTTTTGAGGTTGCATCCTCAGCATTGAAACTCTTTGACTATGTCGTTAACCATTCATTGAGTCCTGCAATTGTTCTGCGTGACACAAAATCATGCACAGTGCGCTCATTTAAAAACGAGGCTCCTTAAATAATTATTAATTGCTGGAATTTACGGTAAAACAAAACGCGTCAATTTAGATAAATGGAGACATTCAAATCAATATTTTAATTTCCTTCGTGTTGCTCCCCTTCGCGCTATAACCACCCAATTTTAAGAATTTTAACTGGCCCTATCTATCATGTCATTCCTCATATTAAAGTTTTGTTTCAAATTCTTTAGTGACACCAAACAAACTTAAATCGAACCAGCCGTTTTAGATGCAAACAATAGCTAAATTCTAAATTGAAATTAGAAAAAAAAACTGAATTATTTAAGTACTGAGTTTCGAATGTGTTGCCGGATAGGGATGGTCGGTATTTAACGTAACCGCTAAAATAACCATTCAATTCCAGACGTGTAACCTGTAACTGCAGTTGCACTTTGCCAATTTAATCGGTTTTTTTGGGAACCGTCTGATAAACCCGAAAAAGTGGTTCGCACCAGCGAACCGAACCGATGCGACACCGTCGAGCCTTCTATCCAGTTGTAACAGTTTCAGTAACCATTTGTCAACGGAAAATATGTTTAGTTGCGCTGTGCGTTGATGATTCTGTTTATCACCTTTGGTCTATAAGAATTACTCTTCAGATCTCCAGGAACCATAACTGGTCAGATTAGCAAAATATTTTTTAGTTGCGTTGATGATATAATTCAGCATTTTCAGTATATAAGTATTACCGCTAATGTGGATTATTTAATGTTATTCATGACTTAATAATTTTTCAAGATTTTGACAAAGTTGTACTCTGTTCCAAGCGAGAGATTATTTTTCAACGCGGATGCTTTCATAAACGAGCGAAGAACTAGACTTAGTAAAAAGCCCGCAAAAAATTGTTCTTAAATGTTACTTAATTTTTAGATGAAAATAGCTTCTTAAACATTTTCGCATGCAAAGCGTATATTTTATTTAAAACATTCGATTTTATTGTCAGTTTTTTTCTGAAAGTATTTACTCATATTTTGTTTTAATAAACTAAATCATTATTTATCATCACTATTTCTGCCATCATCATTGCGAATTTTAATGAAAAATTTAAAAAGGAACATGTTACTTTTGGAGTCGTAATTTGGAATCTAATACCAAAGTGAAACTGTAACGTTGTAACCTGTTCGATAAAAATAACCGTTTAGCACACCTCTATTGCCGGGTAACTGAAAGACAGGCTGTCGCAAGCTCGGTGGCAGTGACGTAATAATTGTCGTTTACTTTTTCTATTACTTGACCACCAAGTGAGACAGAAATTTGATGTTAATTAATTTAAATTATTGACAGTTTTTGTCAATTTTTCCAAGTCGTCATTTCAATTTATCGATACATTTTCTGTTTATGTGTTATTTGGTATTTTTGGGTACCGATAGGACTAAGCAATATAGTGAGAGCGATCAACGGCTCATTTTGCTCATAATTGCACCACCATCTTTTAGATCTTGGATGAGTTTCTCATTTTTTTCTTTTCATTTCTTCATTATGTGACTGAAGTTTTACCACCAAGAACAGAACACACAGTCACCGTTAACGTGAAGTACCTAATTTACAATTGAGGTAAATTATAATAACGAAACTGAAGAAAATAATTTATTTTCCCATATAATTGTTTACATTCTTGACCTATAGGAAATTTTCCAATAGAGTAACGCTCGCAATCAAATTAATTTGACTCTAAAAATGTCGTTATTCGACAGTGTGGCCAGACGTTGATAAAACAATCATTCGTACTACTTCGTACATCATTGAAGAGGTGAAAAAATTACAAAAAAATTTATAAGACATGGTACCGAAAGTCATGGAATCTGTTGTCGTCAAGTACAGATCTAAAAATACCTAATGGAGCCCTGAAGAAAGTGTTAGTTAATTAATTTTCGTGAAAGAAAGACTGACGGGTCATTTTTAACTTGAAGCGATATCAGTTTTCACGAAAAAATGTAGAGGAGGCCTTTTTTTACGCGAGTCAGTTTTTAGATCCAAATATGTATTTTCAAAGAGACGGGCCCAAGAAAAATAGAGCATTGAAAACAGCCAAGTTAAAACTCGAATACCTTAAAATATTTTGTCCCCATATTTGAAAATCTTCTATTTCCCTAAGCATTAATAACTTTTCACCATTCTCACTTACTTTTGCATTGTTAAAAATTCGTAAAATTAACAATCTATGTGATTTGGAAACTGACTTTTGTAATAATTTCATCTAGGAACGTTACTATTTGACTATATTGCAAACATTTCAAGCATTGCACATCTGCACTTAAACAGCTAATTACAACAGCCGAAAATAGACGGTATTCAAACTAAGAATATGTCGACACGCATGTCTTGCGGTAAATGCTCCAGGCAAAATGCAAACAACGCGATAAATTAATGTCAGCAGCCAGTCGATTGGTAGCCTACAAATGTTCAAACAATCCTTACTGTTTACAGAAGAAAATTTTGTAGACTATTTTGATTGATTCCCAATAACTATTGCATTTCTAGTCTTCGATTCTATTATTATAATTAAGTTCAATTAAAAACAGCTTGCGTGCATGTAATTGAACGTGACCTAAAAACTTGCAAAGCAATTAGCTAACGAATTGGCAAACGCACTAGTTTATATCTTTTGTTTTCTAGAATTATTTTTGAATATTATCAAAGTGATATTTCATTCTACAGGCAAGTGCATTTCCATGTTTAAATACCGTTATGTTCAAAACATTCAATTTAGTCATATACTTAGTATGTTGTACAAAAAATACTTCCAATTCAATGCAGAAGCTGATTCCGGATTAAAAAGTAGGCATATAAAAATAAACCTGACTGTCATACCTTTATTTTGAATTACCCTGTATAGTCCAAAGTAACAGAAACTAATTTATAAATAACACTATTATATGAACATTTTTTCCCAGTAGCTATTTCTGTACGATCTAAGAGGGGGTCTCGCCCTGTATAAATTACCACCCCCTCTAGACCAATTATTTTAAAAAATTGATGATGGTGGCCGATTTAATTCCAGATCCGGTAATATAGTGGAGAATTAAAAAGTGCTCTTACAATGTGAATGTGACTATTATTTGGGAATAATATGTATAGTCCAAATAAGCTCAGAAAAAAATGTATTGAGCAGAATTCGCTTTTTTATCAAGTCATAATCATCAATCAACTCTTAAGGAAAATCATTTTCTGTATAAAAAACTCATCCTTAACGCTGGTTTCTAATTTAATCCCTAAATGTTTTATATAATAGCAATAGCTTCAAATTAAAAATTGGACTTGCTTATAAAGATCACAGCAAAGATCTGTTGGCGCCCAATAGATTTGCCTAATAATGGCGGATAGGAGGAGCTTTGGTGCTATTATCACCACTGCAAGCCCATTTTCCATATTTTAATTTACATTATTTATTAAACGTGCCTCATTTGAAACAACGCATACTGGTTTCAGCAAAATTAGCAGCAAAAATATTACATAAATATCACTTAAATATAACAAAATACAAAATAAATTAATTCAGATACTACTACTTATCTGGATATCGTATTACTACTGAAACAGGCTTTTGATATACGAAGCTAATTCTGAAACCGATAAAGCAGTACTGTTTTTCAATACCCTTACAACTGGTATAAACAATAGTTCGGGATTTTGGGTTCGATTTTCAATTGGGCAATTAGTACTAAAGCTTTCTATGGTCTCTGTAGGTGATAAAGTTTCCGAGCCTTCGTCGGTAGGAAATAGGAAATCTGTTGCTGTTTGTATTGAAGCTTCAGTTGCAGTGTTTGATGGGTCAGCATTTAAGGGAGAAACTTCGGGTTCAGTAATTTCAGTGTCGGTTGTAGAATTATCAGTTAATCCTTCCTGGTTATCTGAAATCGGAGTTATTTCCTCTACATCGGAATTAATACTCGAATATGTTACCGAATTTAAATCGGTGATTTCAGTAGTTGTAGTGGCAAAAGAAGCATCTGCATCAAGACTATCGATGGTTGGTTCTGGAGTAGGTCTTGTTATTATTTTAAAGTCTGCTGGAAAACCCTTCTCATTGGTATCTTCGCGCGCTTCTGTTGTTATAGGGATGCTGTCATCAAAATCTTTCTTCGTATATTCACTATCATATTCAGTTGCTGGTGTCGTTAAAGGCATGTCCGAAGAATTGTCTTCATTGAGATTTTCACTCTCATCTTCGTTTGCTGCTGTCGTTGTAGGGTTGTCCTCATTCAAGTTTTCTTCAGTATTTTCATCATCGTTAGTTGCTGGTGTAGTTACAGGTACGTCGGTAGAAATATCTCCATATATATTTTCCTTCACATCATCGCTTGCTGCTGTTGTAGGACTGACGTCAGAAAATTCTGTTTCAGTAGTTTCAGTCTCAACTTCAGTTGCTGCAGTCGTTACGGGTCTGTCCGTTGAGATGTCTTCATTGAGATTATCACTCTCATCTTCGTTTACTGATGTCGTTGTAGGGATGTCCTTAGAAATATCTTCATATTCTTCTTCCGGATATTCATACGCTTTAGACGTAGGCTGTGATTCTGTGCTGCTGGAGTACAGCTCGGCTGAATCGCACGCCTCAGAAGTATCTTCGTTTGTGCAAGTCTCGGAAGCAGAGTCCTCGTTGTAGCTTCTATCAGATGTGTCGTCCCTGATATGCACGTCCGTTTTGTTTTGATCAGTCCCACTATCATGAAAACATTGTGGTACCTTCGTCTTCAGGCAAATGGGATGCTTTTGGTTGTTGATGAGCTGAGTAAGAACTTCAAGCATATGCCCGAGAAGACACGATTGTTCGGACGGAGTAATATTTAATCCTTTCCCATCGCATTTGCTTTTCTTGGCCGGCGCGGAAATAACTACACTGAACCCTATGATAAGCACTAACAGAGTGAGATTCTTACGCACTTGACCCATCTCGAAAAACTGTTAAACTTTAATTGCAGCTTTTGCTTTTTATAAGTTGCTCTTATAAACTTCAACAATAAATATACCATGCACTTCCTGAATCGTCCGGTTGTTTTCGTTATGGTTCCTTGATAGGCGACGGTTCACGGTAAAAATAATATAAACATTTGATGATATGTTGACCCCAGTTAATAATGTTTATATTTTAGAATGGTCAGTTTAATTTCTAGTAAATATTTGTCTTTTACAGTTAATCATATTGCTCAGTTTTTCATTATTTTTATGCGAAAATGTACTAGATTCTTTGGGACAAAAAACTCAAATTGATGTTCTATCTTAAGGGAATCCTACAGGCGTAGCTGCATCCGATATTTGTAAACTTAATTGTGAAAAGTTAAAATGATAACGAAAAAAAATTTTTTTTGGAATGCTTCTTTAATGCTCTTATAAAGTACAGGCTGTTGGATGTGTCATTTGCAACCTAAGCTACTCTAATGACAATTAATATGTTCGAAACTAGTTTCAAAAGACCTATTATATACAGGGTTGCTCATTAGTGCGTCAAAGTGCGATATCTCAGTAAATATGAACTTTACAAGAAAATACGTCCTACGAAAGTTTTTCAT